GCCCAAAATTCCTCCAATTAATGAAGCTCACCCAATGCCCGTGTCCACTGTCCACTGTCCTTGCCGACACGATAACCACGTTACACCAAAACCATATCCGGTTTTATTTTTCTAATAAAATAAAAGGAAAACGATTTAACAATTATCTCGTGAACCATGGCTTGTGGATGGAAATGGAATTGTCAACAAGTTCTTTTTTTTAGTCGGCACAAATTAGTCTAATTTTCAAATCATAATCCCACCATTCAACCTTCTCCCCACCTTATCTTTTTTTTTTTCTTTAAAGAATTTTTATTAAAAAGTATACAAAGTTACAAAACCAACCCAATTTCTAGACCGCACACTCAGATTTTTTATTTGAGTTCAACGTAAATATAACATAATGACTATTGTTAATTATGAAAGGATGGGATGCTCAATCTTTCATCTTCTCATTTATTGTACTAGAAAAATAAAATTTCATATGAAAAATTATCCTATTAAAATTACGAACGGATCACAATTAAATAAAATTGTTGTAACTCATTAATCTTTAGTTATATAGCTACAATTTCATAACTTTAATATTACGGCTGCAATAATCATATAATTTAACTGTGACTTAGGATTGTCAAAGCGAGCATAGTTTAGCGGTAATTGACACCTATCTCAACTTAATTAAGAACTTACATAAATATATTTATAATCTCAAGATAATAAGGTTCAGAACATTACTAAAATTCTTGCATAGCTAGTAAAATTGATGAAAGATTCTTAATAGAACCAAAAGATTATGGGCTAAAAGTTGTAAAATTAAATCGATAAATCTTTAAAAATAGTAAAATTTCATATAAAACTTGATGTTAGGTAAGGGTATAGTTTATCTTTATTGGTAGCTAGAATGCCAAAGTAAGCATAACTTAGTCAAATTAAGAGGCTCCTCTTAATTTGGATCTCCCACCCCACATGTTGTAGCAATGCATTTTTTTTTTTCAAGTTGCAATTAACATATTTTTATAAATTTAGAGATTTTTTTCCACAATAAAAATAAAATAAATGCAGCGAAATTGAAATCTTAAAGTAGGGTGGTAAAAAAAAAAAATTAATGAGTTTTTTATTCTTTCATTTTTTCAAATAAAATGGTTACAAATAACCTCAATTTTCCTTCATATTTTAATTAGTTTTTTTTACCGTATTTCTATGGATTAGAATTTAGTGGTTCTTAATCTTTCAAAATTCTGCAATTTGACTTTTAATATAATTAAAAAGTATCGATTAAATTAATCTATAAAGAAATGTATTATAATTCGGAGATAAAATTAATGTGTCCTTAAATTGTTATTTTATTAATATATTTAGATATTGGCAAGTCACTTGAGAGAAATTAATTTTGTTGATAGCAATAGTTTATCATAATATCAAGAACTCAGTTTTGTTTTTGGCTTTTTGCTTTTGGTTTTTGTGGTTTCTGGTTTTTAAAAAATAAATACCATTTATAATTTATAACTGTTTTTTGTTTTTCAAACGTAACCCTTTTTAGTTTTGTGTTTTTAAAAAGTTAGAAATTAGAAGTATATATTAGAGAGATAATGAAAATGGTGTGGGACGGGAGTGAAGATGCATTCTACCATTCTTGTGCTCGTAAAAATTTTTAGTCTATCATCTCCACTTCATTCTTCGATTTGGGAATCGAAAACTAGGTTAAAGAATCCTTATTTGGGGACGAGATACTCCTGGAAAAAAAATAACGTTTTTAATTAATTTGAATTCTTTTTAGAATTTAAAAAGTTAAAAAATGTAATAAATATATATTAATTATTTTTAGAATTTATTATTTAGTAAATATGTTAAAATATATTAATTATTTAAAACATGAAATCGGGGACATGCATTTCCTATTCTTGGAGTAGGAACTCGACTCTACAAAATTTTTTGTCTTCCCTAATGTAGAGAGACACAAAAATACCCTGGTAAACTCGGGCTCGAGGGGCCTTTGCCTTCATTTCTCGAAGAGCATAAGAAAAGATAGATTAGGAAGAGAAAGAAAAGTTTTAAAAATCAAAATTGTAGAGAGAGAATAGTTCAAGAAAATATTAAATATTTAGCGAGATAAAAAAGAGTGATAGGGTAGAATAAAAAGATAAAAGAAAAAACTAAAAATACGTAAGGGTAATGGTAGTGGGTAGTAAAAATAATTTATATATTTCAAAAAATGTTTAGCTATTCAAAATTTCAAATATAGCAAAATATTTAAATTTTTATTTTCGAAATTTTTATTATTTCGATTTTACCCTTATGATATTTGATATACATCCAATGTATATATGTATTTGATATACATCCAATATATATCTGTAGTTGATGTATATCAATAGTTGATATATATCCAATGTATATCTGTATCTCCTTATATACATTATTAGATGTATCCATAATATACGTTATTAGATGTATGCATTATACTCTCAAATTTATGATATACTAAATATATTTGCAACTGATATACTAAATATAAGGTATATCAATTGTTTAAATTCTAGTTTATCATTACAATTTGTTGGTTGATATACTATAAACCTTTTATACAATAACTTTATATTCAAATTTTTGTTTGCACCATTGTTTTCATATGAAAAAAGAGTGGATATAATAATAGTATTATATCAACACATAGTTATATCAGTAGATATCATGGTTATATCAGAGGTATATCAATAGTAAATTAGAAGCATATTAAGTATATATCAAATATATATCAGTGTAGATATCATAGTTATATCACAAGTAAATCAATTGCATATCATTATTATATCAGTGGTATATCAGAGGCATACATCACTAGTCAAATATATTACAGATATATATAAGATATATTGTAGGGTAAAATTGTAATTTTAAAATCGTACTTCCATTTTTTTTGGAAAAATTGCTATTTTGTTTATTTTACTAATTTTTTTTGTGATATTTGCAATTGCCAATATGAAAATTTTGAAAAGAGAAATAATAATAAATATTCAAAATATGAAAATTTTAGAGTGAGAAAAATAAATTTTGCAAGGAGAAATTTAGGGATAAAAAAAGTTAGAATAAGAAAAAGATTTGTTAGAGATAAATATGTGAAAGAAAAATTAGATTTTGAAAAATATATATTAGTTTTTGAAAACTTCTTTTTAAAATTTACGTAGAATTTTCGAAATTGTTCTTGAATAAAAAAAATAAATAAATAAAGAAATTGAATTAGTGTATTTTTAAAATAAAAAAATTAAACGAAATTGTTATCGGATTGTAAAAGTCTAAATTTTGTCTATGGATAAGTGTTGAACTATTTATTATAGAGTGCTTAGTTAGTTAATAGGGTAGTTGTACCTATGTAATTGGTCTATTAACTATTTATATTCCTCTTCTTCATTAATGAGAGGTATTATTTACTTTCAATCTTAATAATAAGTTAAAATTTTATAAGGGCATCTTCGGTTATTCAAATGGGTTAATAAAATAATAATTATCAACTTTTTGGTAATTCTCAACCATATTTTATTAATAACTATATAAAGATTTTTTTTTTACATAAGAATAAAATTAAGAATTTTAGACCTAGGATTTATTATTTCATACTTTGAAAAAGAAAAACTGAAGTTGAATGGTTATAACTTATAAGGCACGTGATAAATTAAATATTTTGTTGTTTTTTTTTTATTGTTATAGACAGAAGATGCAGATTGGGGAATGCTTTCCGTACAGCTGGAAAGCGAAAGTAAACTGCAGAGTCCAGAGTGACCGATTCAATTGCTTCTTCAACGTTCTTTCCTTTCCATCCAAATCGCAATCTCAACCATTAACGTTACTTTTGCAAAATCTAATTTTACTTTTTCTTAATCAAATTAATTAATAATTAACGTTACTTCCTAAAATTTGATTTTACTATTCAAACTGAAACATATGAAAAGCAATTCGTAGTGTTTTGACCACGTGGCCCTTTGATTTATTCATAATTTTAATTTTTAATGATCCAAATTAGGAGCTTCTGTTCAATAAAAATACAAAAAGTTTTAGGGAGGGAGGCGTGCGGCATTAAAAATTGAAAGCGGTGTCACCTATAACTATAACTATAAGGCATCATGTAATGTACATGTACCTGTTCCCTGCTGCAATTTACCATTAAAACCCTTTTCCCTCTCTTCTCTTCTCTTCTCCATCGCCGTCGCCATGTCTAAGGCTACTGTGGAGCTCGATTTCTTCGGCCTCCAGAAGGACGCCTCCTCCAACCGATCAACCTTACGAGGTCACTCTCCTTTCCTCTTCCTCTCAACTCTCCTTTTTCATTCTTATTCATCTCTTTTTTTCTTCTGCAGGCATTTCGAAGATCAACCCCGACCTTATCAAATCTCTCATCGGCTCTGCCTCCATTTCCCTGCCTCCTGCTCTCCCTCACTTCATCAGGTCAGTTCTATCTCTCTCTTCTTCTCCCCACTTTCCTTCATCTCTTCCTTTGATTTCATCTCTTTTCTCTCTCTCAGGCCGGACTCATCTCCCATGACAATCTTCTACAATGGAACCGTTGCCGTTTTTCACCTTCCTCCTCATAAGGTTGATTACTCATCTCCATCATACCACTTTGCATCACTCCTTCTAATTCTTTCTCGTGTGTAGGCGGAGAGCATTCTCAAACTTGTTGCGGAAGGAAGAGATGAAGCGGATCCAACGCCTGCAGTTCCATCCACCGATCACCACCACCAACACTTGCTTGCCTCTCTCGACGGAGGTCACTTCTCAACTCATTTCTTTTTTCTTTCTCTGCATTTATTACCATTTCTGTTGTTAATTATATGTTTCTCCTGCAGATCTTCCAATTGCCAGGAAGAAGTCGCTGCAGAGATTCTTGGAGAAGCGTAAGGAGAGGTAATCGATTCGTACTCCCACAAAATTAAATTTGCATACATCACCATCACACACAGTTCCAATTTATTTACCGATGCTCTGTTTTTTGTTTTTTTTTTTTCGTTTGTTTATGCTCGCTTTTGATTTAGGCCGGTATATTGGAAACAACGATGGGTTGATGTCCGTCGATTCCTAAATAATAATCAATGATAATCAAAAAATTATGTTCTCATATTTAATTGATTTATGTTACTCTGTTCGTATCGCCTACGAGGAGTGCGAGAGAGGAAAAGTAAAATGTTGGTCTGGAAGATATTAGAGTTGAGACAATGAAATTCCATTGATGCCTTTTTGAGGAAATGATGATATAAAAATTTGTTAGAAATTTTCTCATTATTTTTATAAACACTTGATACATTCATGCCTTCTCTGGTGCGTTATTAAAATTCTTAATTATCACGAGTAATTTTATTCTATGAAAATTTAATATTGAATTAATTTCTTTTGTTTTCTGGAAAATATTTTGAATATGTTATGGGGTTGGACCTACTTTTACTCTTTGTGGGAAATTAAGGAAGGGTAAAAAGTTAGGTCCGTAAATCTTGCTTTGGAATTCTGAAAGTATAGTTAGGCTTTAGAGAATGAGGAGGAAATGAGTAAATATTGATAGATATTCAATATAATTTATTCAAGTCATAATTTAAGCTTTTTGAGCTTTTTGTCGTGTGTAGTTTACTCATCTTATTAGAATGTTAGAATCCTTGCCAGCTTTTGGATTGAACCGTCATTTGTTAAAGCACTGAGTATTTGGATTTGACTGGAAAATTAAATTCCAGGAACCTTCCCTGATGCTTCTCATCAAAGAGATGAGAGAGAAAGGGGTAAAGAAAGATTTTAGGGGGTGTTGTGTGGTGATTTTCTTTCATTTATTGCTTCTGTTGCATTTCTTTTTTATGCAATAAAGTAATAAATAACAAATTATGGCTTCTCGGGGATGGAAAAGTAAAATAAAATTTTGGCGGTATTATATTTTAGGGAAACAAAAAAAAAAATAATAATAATAAATGAAGAGGGTTTTGGTTGTTGTGTGTACTGCAGGATGACTACGGCTGCACCATACGGCTGCCCCAAGACCCAGACCCAGACCCAGCTAACATAGAACAGAAGATGAAGATTACGCGTTTTCTGACACAGACAACTCTCTATTCTTCTTTCGCTCCAACTTATATTCATAAGGATTTGGATTATGACAACATATCATATGATTATATAATCTTATTTTATTTTTTGTATAACCATAGCCCACATATTGTTATGGCAACGTGTAGTGCCAGTGTTGGTGGTGGACTTTGAACCATACTCTGCAGTTGCTTTATTTTCTTATTTTTTAATTCATATGCAGCCTCCCTTCCTTTTTCTTGAATCCCAACTTTATGCCTTTCTTTCCTTCTTAATTATAAAGACTGGAATCTGATGATTCAAAATTGTACTCCAATTTGGTTTCTTTGGAAAATTGGATAACTACATTAATTGTCTAATACTTTTCAACTCAACCTAGCTTTTGTTATTGAAGCATGTGTTATGTATTTGTATTTGGGTCTATTCTAAAACATTTCCACAAAAAGATTATAATTTGGAAAAATCATAAACGGCGGATTCAACTTGTTAGTTCCCTAGGTTGAAATTGTCTCTGAAGGCATTTTTAATTCCCTCTCTTTTTTTCATAATGGTACCATTAATGAGATTTGAGATTCAAATGAATACATTAGATATTTACTATTATTATTAGGATAAACAGGTAGGCCATGATGTTTGAGTAGAAATTTTGGTACTCTTTTTAGTAAACCTAAACATGTTAGGTGAGAGATTGAACTATGCTCATTTCGATTAAAATGTATATCAATTAACATTGAGTGAAAAATTAGCATCAGTGTAAAAAGGTAAACGAGAGTTTAAATTAAAGGGCGGCAGGTGGTGGGCGGGCAGTATTGATAATTTTCCAAAATTGAAATGATTCACGTGGTTTTATAGCCTTTTGACCATCTCATTAAAGCAATACCGCCATTAACTATTCACACACGCCTATGCCTCTGCCTACTCTCAAATATACAAATTTCTAAAATTTTGATTAAAATTCATAATTGGTTTAGTTGGCTGGAGATTCTTCAACCCCTCCAATATATATATATATATATTATAAAAATAAAAAAAAATCCAATCCTGTGAGTCTCCAACTGATTTGGTTTCCTCGATTGTTGTAGCCTTTGTTTGACCACCAAACCAACTACTCCTTTCTTCCATTATTATACTATCTTATCTCCATCTTCTTCGTTCAACCATTTTTCTCTGTTTAAAAACAAATTATTCTTAACCACCGTTTGACATCAACTTTTTCCAAAATTTTCCTCCGATTTATCCTAAAATTTAATTCAACCAATCAATACAGATAACTGGATGTGTCTTTCTTATCAAACCAACAAACACAACTTTTCTTTCCGCACCATAAATCTTTAAAGACAGAATTACATCTTATATAATTTTACAAAAATTGCATAAACTGCAAATTCATATAATCACATAGATCACCTAAAACTCACGACATTTGTGACATTTGTTTAAAAAAAAATATGATATTTTTATAAATACATAGTTATTTATTTCATATCATTTAGTATAATTTCCCATCTTTAAAAGAATACACCCCAAAAAAATTCTAGTCACCAAATAAAATCAACAAATTTTAAATTTTGAATAAATACTCTGAAATTAAAAGAAAAGAAGAAGAAGAAGATTTTATCATTTGAAAAAACATAAATTGGGGGCCAAAATAGAAAATAAAGGACAATACCAGTTTTAGGTTTAATGGGCTCTGTTCAGGGGAAGGTGGGGATGGGCTTGGCCCAAATATATAACCTATTAGAATAAAGTTTTTATTTATTTTCCCATTTCCTTTCTTCCCAAAAGATCGGCGTGCACCGAAACTGCCCCCGACAAAGACATACAATGTTCTTGCAGAAAAGCCCTCCTACCCCTTTATTCCATGAAATAACATCAAATTGACCATCGAGTTTTCATTTTTTATGTCTAATGATTTTCAACATAAAGTGGGGAGAAAAATAAGCTTATATCCATCAAGTGAGTTCACAATAGAGTATCTAAAATTGAATTATTTAATATTTTGCTTTGTTCAGAATCTCACGTTGAAAAGAGAGGAAACCTAACAATGGTTTATAATAGACATGTACTACTCTCGTTGTCAATTGGTTTTGAGATGGAATCCCATGAATATTAATATGCTTGTTGTACTTTGGTGATTCATATTTGTTGGTGTGTTTGATATATATGAGCTTGTACCACTTATGCTTTAAAACTTATCTGTAAGTCGGCTAGACCAAGCGAAGAAGTTTGTGCCGAAAATAAGCAAAAAAGTTTCCCCCTTCTTTCTCATTTTCGCTAATGTTTTAGAGTTTCTTTCGGAGTAGGTCTTAGAACTTTATTTGAACTTTTCTTTTTAATCCAATTATATATAGTTCTTTTTTGACTTACTCATCTTTGTGAGTGAGTAATTTAAGAGAGGTAGAAGAATATATATAATTTGTCTTATTTCCAAGTTCTACTTTTCATTTATGTGTTTAACACATGAGATGTTAAAAGATTGTTTGCTTGAAGATTGATTCAATTGTTTCATTTATGTACATATACACACATACTACATACTACGTATATGTTAGTTCATCGAAGTATTTTTTAGATTCATTTTGGCTACTTTGATATTTCTAGGGGTGGGCCAAACGGTTGGAGTCATTTGAAGCTATTGACCCAAATAGCATGTATGAGCTTTTAAGGCACCTACATAGCTCGGAGGGTGAGTTAAGTGCATTAGGGTCGATTATAATATGTTCAATTTCATTTTTGTCTAAAAAAACACCCTTAGGCCCTTAGTCCCATTTTGGATGCTTGGTAAATTCTGGCCACCATATAGCTACTTGGCCACTTTTTAGCTACTAGTCCCATTTTTTTTTTCTAGGTTTTTAATTTTGTTGGTGGGATAAATTTTCTTATATGGGTTTATTACCTCACGAATATTTTGAAAATCTCTTTCGTATTTTTGTAATTTTTTCGTTTGTTTATGTTTTAGAACACTTTATATTATTCGTTTTGTTCATTAAGATGTGTAACTGTATAATCTTAAAACTCATTTATGTAAAAATGTAAATGTAGAGGAAGGGAAGACTAAAGACATTTAGGATTACTTATTTTGTCTTTCATGTATTTTGAAAGTCTCTAGATTGTAATGAAGAACGTATACAATTTTTTTTGTGTACAGATACTTGCAGTTTAATGAATTGACTTTTAACGTATTATGTACGTGTTAAATGATACTATTGATAATATTAGGTTCCAATATCGAACTATCTAGTACTACAAAAATAAAATGAAAAAATAAAAAAATGTCATCTAAAAAGAGTTGGAAAAAGCGTTGGGAAAGTTTTAAAGTGTCGGCATTATCCTACTTTTGTCGACACTTTCTGATCAAGCGCGGACATAGCCTACTTTGAGAAAGCGTCGCCAAAACATATCACGACAGACCTATGGCGATGATTTTGTCGACAAAATTTTTTTTTTCCATTGTTTCTTGGGTTTTTTGGACAATTTATAGCATCTGAAAAACATAAAATTCTTGCAAGATCTTGTTAAACTATCATTAAATCTACGAAATATAAAAATATTAAAGTAGAATACTTCAATATTTCATCGAGTTACTTTCATTGAGATGATAGGCTTACAAGTATTAAGATAATATTGAAAAATGGAAATGGTTTGAAAAAAAAAACTATATTATGAAAGTAATGATAGTCGTGATTGGGAAATGAAGTGTTAAGCGCTGACTTTTGATTAAGAAACCAAACACATTATATTAGCTGTCCAATAAAGAATAGGAAAATAAAGCCAACTGTGATTATAATAAGGAATTAAGCATGTTAATTGTTGCGTTGTCATAATGAATGCACCATTTGGCATGATTTGGTTGGATTCACGTGAAGCAAAATGTTGGACTCAAGCAACTTGGCGTGCTTTGATTTGCCACTTGTCTTTTCATCTAAACTAAAGAATATATTAACGATTATGTGGATTTTCTTTTAACCATTGTACACGTAATTAAAGAGTCAGTTACAATAAAATTCTAATTTAAAAAGCTCATTAGAATTGATCTATTATGAGACTAATGTTATATACCTAATTGGATAAACTTGAAGTAGAATTATAGAATAAATATTGATATGGCAAAAATTCCAAGTTCTATAGTTGAAAAGGAGGATTACCCAAAATTTTAATAGAGGTTAGAAATGCAAGTTGTTATCCATGGCTGACTCAAAGATCTTAGAATTATATGAAATAATTGTCTATTTGAAGGCTCAACTTTGTCTAAATTATTTATTTTAATTTGAAATTTTGAATTCAACAATTTTGAATATTGGACTAAATAAAGAAATTGATGTTTTTTTTTTCCCAAAATCAAGTTAGAAAATAATCCAAAACCTCAAGACAAACCTTCAATACCTAAAGGGTTTTGGCTAAACCTAACTAGGTACACAAGTCATAAGAAAACATCCCACCAAACACCAATCTTAAGGTCAAATTTGATAACTCTTTTTCTAAGTTTATTTTTTAAATTACATTTGTTGGTGAACACCTTTTAATTTCTAAAATTGAGTAAGATTGTGTAACAAACACTTTTTAAAGGTAAAATTACAAGTAATTTAGTCATTCAATATCTCACATTGTGTTTAATATAATTCAAACTTGTCTAATAGGTCTCCAAACTTTCGATTTAGTGATTAATATGTCATTAGCTTAAAAAGTATTTAATAGGGTCATGAATTTTTAATTTTATGTCTAATAAATCAATGATTTATAATTAGACATTTTAACAAACTTTTACGAACTTAGACACGAAATTGAAAGGTCGATAACCTATTAGAGTCAAGATTAAAGGTTAAAGTGACCTATCCGACACTATATATTTGGATGGACAGAATTTACACAATTTTACTTTTTCTTGGCTCGGAGTAAAGTTAGTCATGGATCTCATCTATCATATAAATTATCAAGTCTCTCAAGAGGTAATGGCAAGATGTTGGTGTCAAATATTCCTTTCTCTTTAGTTAAATTCATCTTTCTTGGACACAATTACTTGAACAAAGTGATTAAAGCTCATGCCTTTCATGAGACCTAATCCTCCATCCAACTCCTTTGTTAATCTTGATGAATAAGCTCTTAATTAAATGAGATTATTGAATTGATGTTATATAGCCCTCACCTCACTACCCAAGGTGTATATACCCTAATACAAAATACCCATATTGTCCTTTTTACTTGTACAGTGGTCCCTCTTTCCTAACTCTTTCTTTTTCCTATATCATGCTAGCACGTCCCCTCTCCCTAGACTATATATCTCTTCCACTGAAATAATATATTTTTTAAAGGGTTTGTCAATTATCCAACCTACCAAAAAGTGTTGTATGAGGAGGCAATATTTTAGCCCGAATAACACATCTTATTTATTTATTTATTTATTTTTGTTTGTTTAGAATCGATCAAACTTTTATAAAAACATCTAACAATGTTAGGGTGCATCTAATAATAACTTTAATTTTTATTTGATAACCAATAAAATTTTTAATGGCTTTTTAACTTTTTAAAAACAGAAAATATCTCTCCTTCTACATTTCTCTACTGGTAAAATATTTAACGATGGGATAAATGGTCAAAATTAAAACTAAAAAAAAATTAGAAAAATACAAATTGAAGGACGTTCTCATGCATTTTAAACAAAATTAATCACCAACAAATCTAGGTTAAACTGAGGGAATGGGTAAACTTAATTATTGGATATCTTAATTTGAAAAATATTTTAATAAGTTTTGACTAATTAAGTTGTAGATTTGGTGGGTATTTTGACTATTATGTATATTATTTTTTATAATGGCAAAAAATGATAAAATTCCCAATGGAATTCCATTTCCATTTCTCTTTGATTTAGAAATCTAAAAGCCAAAGTGAGCATAGTTCAACGACATATATCTCAAACTTTAGAGGTGGTAAGATTGATCTCCCATCCCCACATCTTGTACCAAAAAAATTAGAAATCTGAAAAAGGGAGTCGAGAGACGTAGAGACTCTCATGGTAGAGACACATACGAGTAAAGTATATATTTGCAATCGTGCGTCTGCATGTTTTGGTTTATAGAACTATGTACGAGGTCGGTATCCACAACTATACAGCAGCATTATGTATATAGAAATATCGTCATTTCCCATTCTCTATCATTTTTCCATTTCCTGAAGAACGCGTGTGGCATGTGCTTCTTATTACAGAGTCTCTGTCGAGTTTAAAGGCTGTCATACTCTAACTTATTTCAGTTTGAAAAGGGTGACTTTCTCTTTTTGCGACTGTTTTACTTATAATTCTCATTGTCCTTTCCAATCATCTTCTCCATCTTCTACGTCTCTCTCAACCCTCAACAATTATATTACTTTAAATATCAATTCCTCCAATTTTTGCTTCTAATTTTTGCATATTAAGGCTCAAAGTGCAAATTAAAATGAGGATCAAATTGTGCAATTCATGAAACCAAAGAATCAAGCTAGGGTAGAGTTTCATTTCGAACGAATGTGACAACAAATAGTTTGGATGACATATTTGTAGCAAAAAACCATGAAGGAGAAGAAGGAATTCTTCCGTGTTGAATTGAATTCTTCTTATAATACGAATGCTTACTAGATGAATTTCGATCACGAAATCAGAGGCTCAGTCTCTACAAGTAATTCTCTGTTCGATTTGTTGATCCCTCCATGTCTCGAGGAACTTGAGATTATTGTTGGGTTGATAAAGAATTAGTTAGATTTATTTTGTAATTTAATTAGTTTCCAGTTATGTAGGTTATGAATATGGATGATTTAATATGACTTTTAATTAGTTCGAAAGATATTCTAGTTTGATAACTTAGATAGAAATTCTACGGACTCACAACTAACCATAATATGTGGCTCTTGGGCTAAAATTGACAAATGACGTAGTGACAGTCCCGTAAAACTTAGGGACAGCAAATGTGGGCAGGGTAAATACCCTTCCATGATTTTGAAAATATTGACGTGTGTGAGATGTAGTCATTACTCAGGATTTCTCATTTACAGTTTATGAGAATTTATAGTAGGTGTCCATATTTATCGTCCCGTTTTGAAAAATGGCTAGATGATATTTGATAATGAAAAATGTCCATTTGTATTTTTCTATCTGTTTTGCAGGTTTGATTTTGACACTTCTATCCTTTCTATTTAGTTATTATTTTTAAAATCAAATATCCTAACTTCCATTATCTCCTAGATTATAGTTTTTTTTTTCTAACCACCACTATTGTTTGATATATAGGCGGAGACAGGATTCAAGGAGACATCACACAACCACTATTGTTTGATATATATGTGGAGACACGACTCAAGGAGACATCACATAGAAAAAGATCTAGAGCTGGTTACAAGTAGATTGAGAGGTCTATATGTTGAGTTTCTACTTATTGTGTAGGTAGAGTACTTTATATTTTTTGTATTAATAGTTGATAAAAATACATCTTATTTCTTATATTATATATTCACCTTGTATTTGTTCCTCTATTCACTTCAACATATTTGTTATTTATTCTTCTGTTCAACGTATTTGTTATTTGTTCCTCTTCATCGTGTTCATCTATTTGTTTTGGGTTTCAATAATGATTTTATTGTTTAATGAATATAATTTTCCAAACATGACAGAGAAAATAATAGGTAGGATTCTCTTATAAAAAGGGGAAATAATATTTTCATTTTAAAATCATTTTAGCGAGGGTAATTTCGTAACTAAAAAATTAATAGAGATTTTCTATTGGCTGATTATTGAAAACTTAAAATTGCCTATTTTAAATGGTTATATGTATTGTTATTCCAAATTATATTAGGTCACAGGCTTCCACCTAGTTGAAGTTCATTTTCTAGGCCCAATCCATTTAAAATACAATTGTTTGGTAGAAAATGAATCAGAAATAACTTGTAAAGTAAAAATTGATCAAAATTGACAAGGTGCCCATTTAAGCAATTTTGCTCCATTTTTATTCGGTGAAAAATAAGCACGAACTAATGAATATGCCTTGAATAGTACTGAGTGCTAACCAAACCACTTAAATAATATTCAACTTTTACACAAATCAAACTTACACATCCTTAATTATCACATTAGACCCCAAGTAACAAAGCATTCCAATCTTGAGAATCATAATGATTTTGTTTTAATTTTCAATATTCAAAAAATGTCAATTCTTTTGACTTGAAATTTCTTTTCTTTTGGTTTTATATTTTAAAAATAATTTGTTTAAATTTCAAAACCAAAACTAAGTCAAATTATGTGTTCATTTTAATTTGTTATTATTATTATTGTTTTTTTGAGGTTGTTCACTAAAGATTATTTTCAATTATTTGATCATAAAACAAAGAACTTACCGGTAAACATGTTTTTTATGCATCCATTTGAAAGATCATTATATTTAATGTTCTCTCATTTATCATTTTCATTTAGTATCAATTACATTATTAATTAAAAATTTTGAGAGCAATTATATATATATATATATATGTTTATTTATTGCGTACATTTCAATCAGTGAGGGTTGTGGAATAATGAAAGCAACAAGTCGCTGTCTTCACGAGCAAATATTATTCCTTCTTCTTCGATTAGAGTCGTTGACCATCCCACTCACACCTCCACAGACCATCCATGGCAGAACCCCCATCACAAGATTCTTTTCATTTCCTTTTTTCTTTTCAATAAAAACTTCCAATCCATAAGGAAAACCACAACAACGACAACAAATTAATTAAACTACACTCTACAGAGAGATGTTATACCGAGGAAATTAATTAATGACGAGCAAAAGAAATTAAAACTCCGTTCGCCCTTTGCAGTTTGCACCCAATCAATAATATCGAAGGAAAAAGAATCAATGATTTTGTCAGGTTAACCCAAATACCAAATACAGTTTGATTTTGGAAATGTGGTTGGCTCTCTCATGGGAAGCCATTATCGTCGGAGCGATCGAAATGAACAAGAAGACTGCTGCATTTGGGGCAATCTTCCACCTGCTTCGGCACCATGAAGTACATGAAGCATCTCTTGCATCCGGCCACCACCAGCACGTCCTCCTCGTTTTGCTTTCTCCTACCACCGCACGACGACGAACAACACGACTCCTCGCTCCCGCCGTCGTCCGACGAGCTCCCCTCCTCGTCTTCCGAGTAGTACGAAGAGTCTCCGCCGTCTGCTTCCGCCGTCCGAGGATCTTCCTTTACTCTCATCCCGGTCCGGCAGTTGATGTAGTACACTTCCCCTGTCTACAAACAAACCCAAGCGGAATTCAACAGAAAAGTTAATTTAATGTTCCCGAGGGGGAAATTAGAGAAAAAAAAAAGCAAAGGAATCCGAAATCCAGAGAGCTTTTCTGATCTGTTGTACGAAAAGAGGACTGAAGTCTGAAAATGGCGGAGGATAAAGCAAGATGGAAATTAATTAATAAATGAATTCATTAATTAAACAAACAGCGAGCGAGCTTGGTTTTTGAGTTTTAGGGTTTCGATTCCGGATCGTACGAACGAAGGGGAAGGATACATCATACATGGGAAGAGATAGGGGGAAAAAAAGAAAGCATTAATCACAAAGACAAATTTATGGATTCAGAAACGCATTAAAGATCAACGCCTTCTCTCCGACAATCATCAGAAAATTAATCAAAGTACAAGACAACGGAATTTGCAAAGATCTGGCATATGCGCTTTCGCATTAAATGAAGGCTCTAGAAGAGGAAAACGAAAGCATCGGAAGGCTCGAGCAAAAGAAAACAAACAAGAAACAAAAGCCGAGAGTCGTCGGTCTGGTGCTCGGGATGAAATTCACAACACAGAAAACTAATATAATCCTGTCCTAATCCTAGTCCTAATTCCAATCCGAATCCTAATATAATCGTGTGCTCACCTTTAAATCGAGGCATTGTTCCCAGAAAGGAGGGAGGGAGATGTGAGAGTTGAGTTCCAAGGTTGTGTCGAAGCGATGATGTTCGTCGTCGGAAGAAGAAGGTGAAGAGGAAGAGGAGGAGGACCTCCGGGGCCTTGCGGCGGAGGCCGCGGCAGCCGAGGAGAGGCGATGATTGAGGGAGAAGTTACGGAAAGACTGCTCCAGAGAATCAGTAATCGCCGCCATATCCGGAGATTTCATCTGGAGGAGGAAGAAGAAGAAGAAGATCAACGGAAGAAAGAAAAAGAACGAAGGCTGTGTTGTGTTGTGTTATGCCATCGGATGAGAAATGAATTATAGAATACAACAAAACCAAGACGGGTCAAGCCAGCCGAAGCCGTCGTGAGTGCGCGTGGGAGTTGTTGAGAATATCTCCACTGGGACCCACAGATTCCGAACTGTAGCAACCGAATAGCATGCCACGTGTCATCAACGAAAAGAAAACGGATGAGCCCCACGCGCGCATAACCCCAATCGCCCGCCAACCGCTGAACAGAAAACACGTCGGTTGGAGCGTGAGATTTTTCCCTTTTTTCTTTTGGGCCGAGTGATCCGCTCATTACCAAAAAGAATGCCGGAGCTTTCCTCGACATCTCCTCACTTTTTCTTTTTTTCTCTTCCCTAAATTATATATAAACTGGAGAACATATTCTTTGTTTTTAAATACTTCAATTTTAAAATATATCCACCCACATCAACATAATTTATTTCTTAAGTTATCTCCATCTAAATTTAAATTTCTACATTACCTGACACGTTTCTGACATAATATTCTTCAAAAAACTTAGAAAACCTTTATGTCCAATATAAATAAATTATATTTTCAAATCATTCTGCTCCATCTTTTATTTAGTGTATATATATTTATAATATAAACTTAACAATTAGTAGCATTTTCTTACTCGCTAAAATTCAAACTCACACTCCCAATCCCACGAATATAATATCATGTTGTTAAAAGAAAATGTATTCACATATACAAAAGAAGGGATAGTTTACATTATGAGTGGTAGATTCGTATTTTCGTCTAGGCAGTAGTATTATTCTGGGAGAAGAAAAGTAGAAGGGCAAAAGTGAAATTTTGTTTATTTGATTTTTTTGGTCTGAAAAGTTTCGTACCAAAGTTCTGACAGCATGAGCTTCTCCCTGTTTCTGCACTAATATTCCCTGTGGCTTCTGCGTCGACCCAGGCAGAGGCAGAGGCAGCACCAGCAGCAGCTCTTTCATTTAATTTTTTGCGGATTCACGTGTAAATTTTGTTACTTGTTACCTTTCAAAGCACTCCCATATATTTCAATTTCACCTCTCTCTCTTTGCTGTTTGTTTCAATCATTTATCCTCTTCCCCTGAGCCTGAGTGTCACATGTTCATTATCTCTCCGGTTCCAACAACTTGACTTCCATTTTTCCTCATCTCCTCAACACTTTTCGACAAAACACTCTGTCCTCTCAGTCTCAACACCATTTTCATCTTTCTCTATGACTTTATTCATAAGAATCTTTCCCAAACATATCGATTTACATCTACCTCTACTACCCTTCTCGATTATCACTTTCTTTAATTACTATATTCAAGCATACCACGTTTTAGTTGCCTTTTCTTCCCTTTTTACCAATCACTACTACACTCATTTTCTTCACTCTAATTCAATTTTAGTTGCTTCTTGTCTTTTTACTCAATATTTCCTAGATATGCAGTGGTATGGGTGTGCTGTTTTCTACACGGAGACACCAGGGAAATTTTTCATTCACCTTATAATTTTCTTCTCTACTCTTTTTAATTTCTTCTCGTCTGTCTTGTCTCCTTTTGTACTGTCTTATCATTATTATGTTTTTGAACAAGAACAAACAAACAAAGAACATTAATTTAACTACGACTCCTATCGAATCTACCAACTCTAAGTCTGTGCTATCTAGCCTCTAAGCACCGTGACAATGACTACTTAGGAATATGACAAATTTTTTGGGCTGTTTGAAATCCTTCAACGCATAGGCAAGGTGGCTTATCGACTTAACCTTCCTGAAACTACTTCTATTCACTCGGTGTTTCATGTTTCCCAGCTAAAACCGGCTAAAGGTCCCAATTTAGACGTGCAGAACATCCCTCCCTTGAGATGCGTGTATTCGGGCAACATAACGGATACGCTGAAGACGAGGAGGTAGTGGCCAACATTCTTTAGAACAAAGCTCATCTCGACTTTAACCTAGGAATAGAACCCAGCCGACATAATATCTATTGGCTCCATTTTGCTGGTAAAGAATCTTGTGCCTATTTAACCAAAAATCTACTTAATGACATGTATGGACACTGTCTATGTAGATAGCCATCTTCCAAAGCTCCTTCTATAAAAGGCGGAGTCTCACCTTTTCAAAGGTACGCAATCTCTAACATTAAAACTAAGTTCATCTTGACACCATCTCGTACTCAACACTAACTTAAACTTCGAAGGGTATATGGTCAAAGTACCACATTAGTGTAAGATTCTATTTGCAATCGCTTGTTAGTCCACGTCAAAGTTCACTTCCAATCACCTACTAACATACATGCAACTTTCAACCAGAATCTTACATCAACATAAATAATTAATGAGAAAATTAAGAAGAATCATTTGGTAAGAAAAGTAAGAAGAATCATCTGAAGGTCTAGTCCAATCCTAGAGTCCTATGAATCTTTTTAATATTGACTCCCAATAGAGGTGTGTGAACCCCACACTCAGAAAAAATTGGCAACTATAAAAAAGAGGGGGAAGCATCTAAAATTACTTTCAATTATGTTTTTAAGGTTTTTCTTTTTGTTACAAATGTTTTTAAAAGTATTTTTAGAATTATTTTTTACAAAATTTTAGAAAGTTCACTTAAATGCTGAAAATGTTAAAATGTCATACCAAAATTTTCCTGGGATCCTATTCTTTTATCCTAAGTCTATTTTTATAGTGGAAAATATTTAAGGTACTAACGTGTGAGAGAACTTATATCTATGCTAACCACCATTGAAAAATTGACGGTTCATTATTTTTAAGAAATAATTTCTCTATTTTTACATTTCTCTTTTTTGTTGTCAAATATTTTAAGATGGATATGATTAGATATATTTTCACCGGTCAAAACCTAAATATTTTTCTTTTATAGATCCCTTTCTTATCCCACTCACCCACCTTTTATCTCATGTCCTTTGCTAATAAACTCATATGCTCCACAAGATAAACTTCTTAGTGTCCATGACCGGTTACTTTGATTTATGCTTTAAGAATGCAAGGTGGCAATTCAAATCAACGTGCCAGCAGTTATTTTGGAAAAATCTAAAATCAAATTACAAATTAGTCAGTCACTTGGGGGTGGTTCTCAGAGTAATTTTTTACCATAAAAATTAATAGAAAATTAAATTTTTGAAGGGTTATTATTTTAATTTTCAAAACTATCTTTTTATTTAACTTATCTTTATCTTAAATTTCGAGAAAAATTCTTTTTCTTTTTCTAAATTTTTGTCACCTTTAACCTGGTTTATCTTTTATTTTATTTATTCTCTTTAATTTTTTCTCTAAAATTTTAGTGTAGCTACCATGTTTTTTCTATCTTTATTTCTCCTTATAAAATTTTTGTCTCGCACCCTCTAAAATTTCTCTAAGTAAGACTTTTGTTCTCTAAGTAAGACTTTTGTTTCTCTCTAACTTTTCTTTCTCTAAAAATTTTGTCAAATTTTCTCTTTAAAATTTAAATAACAATCATCCAAAATCATTTTTAATTACATAAAAATCACTTTAAAAAGTGTGTAACCAAACTTAAAATAATAATATAAAAATAACTTTTAATTTACAAAATCAATTATCATTAAATTTCTTTTTGCTAAAATCACTTATTCTAAAATCATTCCCAATCAATCCCTAAATTACACACGATAGGCTTTAATCCAATTTTAAGGGCGTTGTTTAGTAAGTCCTTGAATTTTGTAAAGTTTTAATACATTTTTAAATTTTCAATGCTTTGTCTAATTAGATTCTTGAATTTTAAAAAGTATCTAATAAGAACATGAACATTTAATTTTTTAATAAAAGTTATGATCTATTAAGAATGTATCTGGCAATGATGACGAAATGAGTGATATTGAAAAAAGAGATTCAAGTATAATTAATTTTTCAAAATCACCATCAAGTGATATCTTAAAAATAAATCTAAAGTAATTTTAAACTTTCATGAAATCAATGGAAAGAGAAGTGATTTTGACAAGGGCAAATAAATAAAAGATTTCATTTTTAAATAAAAAATTTGTTTTAAATAAAATGATTTCTTTTAATTTTAAAAAGAAAATACTAAAACTGATTTTTCAAGTTTCTTATTCCTTGTTTCCTTCGTCAAAGCCCAAACCACGTGGCTTTCTCTCCTTTTCCCTTCCCTTCTTTTTCTCTAACTCACTTTTACCATTTCTACATTACCGTTGCACTTCTACTTATTTAAAAGAAAGTTTCACAGCACAGAGAGGACAGAGCAGAGGAAATTTGAGACCTTCATCCCCTTACCTTTCTATTTCTCTCATCTTCTTCATAATTTCTTCATACCCTCCTCCCCTCTACTTCTCAATCCCTTTTCTTTACCATCTTGGACCACAAGAGTTTGACGCGCTCAAATTTGCCTATTATTGTGTTCTAACCTACTCCTCCTCCACGTCTCAATTTCATTATCATCGTTGGAATTGGCGAATTTAGAATTTTTCAGCCAGTTCCATTGTCAAAGTTTGATCATAGAAAATTATATATGGGGGATAACTACATAACGTCTCCGCGTTTGGTCGGTCGATCGATCTAGGTCATTCGTTTCTTTCCTGAAGGAGGCAGTGTGCTTGATTGGCGCGAGCAGAGACGATAGGCTTGCTTCCGGTGGCAAAACTCAATGGTACAGTGAAATCTAGGATACTTCTTTTAAATTAAAGATTTGATTTATTTATTTATTATTATTATTTTTTAAAACAGTGGCTTGTTGGGAAGAAATAAAACGTTTCAAATTAAAAGCAAAACCGTTATCTCGAAAGAGGCCCTTCAGGAAAGGACGTCGGCCGCTCCGCGTCGCAATAACATTGCAACAGCTTGGCGACTCCGCTGGGGACTATTGAGAGTCAAGCCATTTATTTTTGTCATTTAGTATCCCGTTTATGAAATATTTTGATCCATTCCTCTTTTATTGCACATTTTATATTTTAATTATTTGTTTTTATAAGTTTGCATTATCCATGCATATCACACAAATTCACAAGCCTCCTACCCGGGCTTTACCCTTAGGATTAGGTCGGAGACTGAGTAGTGTGACCTTCGTGGAATTTCAGTTCCCGTGCAGACGCATGGAATTCTCTACTCAAGTCGACCATATTGCCAAAATATATGGAAGATTTGAGGGTCATTATCCTATAGGATGCATTATTAGTACATAACTTCACACCATATTCATATTGCATTTTATGTCGGTTGTTATGTCATTCATGGCATATTGTTTGTTTTAATAAAAAATTTAGGGTTGATTTAGAGTTTTAATCATAAGGTTTTAAATGAACCACTTTTTTAAAAAAAAAATAAAGGAAAAAAATAAAAAATCATTTACCTTACTTCTTGCTAGCTATTTGTTTAAGTTTTTGGTAGAAGTGTTGCCTTTCAAAGTTATTTTAAACGTCCCTATGTAGGCCCACAAAAAACTTACGAATTTATTCGCTTCTATCGAAAACTTAGGAGTTCAACTTTATAACTCTAGAGTTTAATTTTATGTACATATTCATGTTTCTCTCTTAGGGTGAATTAGAGTCTACCATTACATTTGCATGCAGTTAGAATGTACTAATTTATTTTAGGGTAATTTGTAGCATATTTAAATAACAATCTTTTTTCCTTCTTAAAGAAAATAAATTAAAAAAAAAAACATATTCTTCCTATGCATCATTTTGCAAGACCATAGCATAAATTAAAAAATATCTATCTTTTGCATGCATCATTTTACATGTCTATATCATAAATTAAAAAATTTATCGTTCAAATGCATCATTTCATATGTCTAAATATATATATTAAAAAAAAAGAGCAATATTTTCGCAGGCATTATTTCGCATAATTCCCCTAATTGGTGATCCAACATTGGCATCACATCGTCTCATGCATATCAATTTCTATCTTAAAAAAATCAAAATCTATGCATTCTCCATTACATCATTAACACGAACTCTTAGAAAAATAGCTCAAGAACCACATATTTACTATTCTTTATATACAAGGTACATAAAGTAGCATAACATGGAAGAACTTAATGCTGAGCTAAAGAAAATTAGAGACGAAATCCACAAACGGGTCATGGAAGAATTGAATAATGAGCTAAAGAAAATAAGATACGAGATTCAAGAACAGGTCATGGAGGTGCATGATGTAGAGCTAAAGAAGATGAGACAAGACATCGATAAGATTCAGGGGCAAGTTAAAGAAATTTTCAATGTCTTAAAGAATATTGTTACAGTTGGGGACATTTCTCAACCTAACAATTTAGTCGAACCTCATAATAATTCATCACCTAGGGTGGACCCACCTCTTTGTCAACCACCAGAGAGTTTCCCCCAGCATAATTCATTACATGAAGTTCAGCTTTCCAAGAAAGGCCAACAAGCTCCTACAAACTGTCAGGTTGAATTTACATTCCAAGATGGACAAACATCAAATGCCAATTACTCAGATAATTTAAAAGGTAGAGGAAATGTTACCAATGGAAATGCTGAAGAAACTGGGGAAGTTTCTTTTCTAAATCAATACAAGCATGACATAGGTATGACCCATGCTGAGTAGATAATAGAAAAAGAAACTGCAGGAAAAGAAAGTGCACGGAGATGGAGAGAGGCAAACGAACAACTGTCAGTGCTTTTAATTGATAAAGAGCCACATAGTAAAAACTCTATTAAAAGGAAAAATAAAGTCCAGACAATAATCTCGAAGCACAAGTGGAGGCACCAACAAGGATTTATGGTATACAATCCGTCTACAGTACCCATAAACTCATTGGCTCTGTAGAATGGCCCACATCCAAGTTTGCCAGCATTTCCTGAAAATCATAGTAGTCGGAGACAACTAAAGCGAGAGAGCTTTAATCCGATCCCAACATCCTATTCCGAGTTGTTATCCCAATTATTTCAAGGTAATCTATTAGCTCCCGTAGCCGTAGAGTCATTACAACCACCTTATCTAAAGTGATACGACTCGCATGTTCATTGTGATTACCATGCAGGAGCTGTAGGTCATTCAACTGAGAACTGTACTTCACTGAAGCATAAAGTGCAAGTTCTAATGAAGGCAGGATGACTAAAGTTTTCAAAGGAAGATGGTCCACATATGAAGCGCTAGAATCATGAGTTCACGAGACAATGGAAACCAATGTGGATTTAACAAAATTCGTTTTTTTAGTTTTAAAAAATAAATTAAAACTTTGTTTTTGTAAAAGAATATTATGTTTACATCGTAGGATGTTGGCAATAGTGGTTAGATGTTTGATTCTCTAAATTCGAGTCTTTGAATGCCTCATTTTATCATTTGTTTTTACTAAATAATTATTTTAAATAAAATATTTCATTTAGAGTTCTTTTTTTAAAACAAAATTAAAAAATACAAAATTTGTATTTTAAAAGGGTCATAGCTTATATCTCAAACTGTTAGCACATTGGTGTGATGTTTGAGTGTCAACACTCATGTCACAAGTTCAAGTCTGGAAAGAGACCCTTCAATTAACTATAGATCTTGATGTTTTTCATACTAGGTACCTTTATTATTGATATCGTATCATTTATCATCGATATACGACTTCTTATATCAATGATAAACTTGACATATCTTATATGAACATCAAAGAATATCCGATATAATTTTGATGTACTACATACTATGTATATTTAATTATAATTGATATACATTATATGAAATACATCATTCATAACTAATATACTCTTCATGTGAAGTATATAAATCATTATATATTTTATATATCCAATTTGAAGTACATTACATCAAATTGGTAATTTTTACCATGATATCATCTTTCTCAAAACCTATATGGAAAGCTGTTATGATATCCCTAATGTGAGGAATTATTTTTCTTTCTTGGTAACTTTGATCGAATTTAGGGGTCGTTTGTTTCGTGAAAATATGAGATTCTCATAGAACGGACATCCAAATTCCCATGTTTGTTTGATATGAATCTTGGATGTCCGGACATACTATGATGCCTATACGAGAGGTATCTGAACAATTTTAGATGTCTTCCTGTAACATTGGTTTTTAAGATTCTCGTGTTGAGGGCATCTTCTTTTGACCCTCCTCATTTTTGTTCTATAATATTTTTTTATCAATAATATTTATTTTATTTTATTTTAAAAATAAATCTACGCACTAATTCATTGATAAATGTCTAAATACACTTTTATTAATATTAGTTAATGGTATAATATTTTAATTTATTTTCAATTCAAATCTAGCGTGCAATCTTTCGTTTATTTTTCTCTTTTAATAGTCACCAAACATAAATTAAAATTGACATAAAAATATAATATTAAATTAATAAAAGTAAAAGTTTTATATGAATTCAAATAATATTAGATTTAACCTATAAATAATATGATGCCTGACATTTTTGGAACATTACATAAATTTACAATATTCCCACGAATAAATTCTGTAAAAACAAAACAAACGTGGCTATCTGAAATTCCGGACATCTAAAATACCGGGGCATATGAGATTTCAGACATCTGAACATGCCGGACATCTACATCTCGAAAAAACAAACGGCCCTTAGGGTATTCATCACAAATTTTGACGAGGGATCAAACATAATTCTTTTAGGCCAAATCTTGTTATATTTCCTTCAATGTTTAAAGGTCAGAACTTTTATTAGATAATCTCTTAATTCCAAATGATAAAAAAAAAATGTGCAAGGAATGATTCTTTTAACAATTTCATTTGGATTAGGAAAAAGATTTCTATGATATTATCTAAAGTGTCTAATTTTGAATAAAATTGAACTTTCAATTAATAATTTCAAATAAAAACTTTTTGTTAGAACAAAACATAACATATCAACATTATATGTCAATTACCATATACGAATGACAAAACTACTTAGAAAAATCCGGTGCGGTGCGTTTTCACGTGGGGCCAAAGCTAACCCAATGACAGCAAATAATTAATTTCTTCTCTTTTGCTTCGATCGCAATTCTATTTCTCCGTAGCAGTTTCTCGTTTTCGGTTTCTCTCTAGTCATCTTCCACAATTTTCATTGACTTCCATTCCGACGACTTTCAGAATCACCGGCGGAGCAGTCAGAGTTAGGGAAATGTCGAAGAACGACGAGCCGGTCGTCGGAATTCCATTATATGCCGGCGACAACGCGTATCAGGCCGGACAGATCCCTTCCAACGCCATTTATGGCGATCCTCAGGGGGTTCCTATCCAGCAAACCATGTTCCGCGACACTCCTGCTCCTTTCTACTGTCTTTATTGTGGAAATTCCGGACTCACCTCCGTCAGGTGCCTTCTCTTTTCTACCTACCTTTGATCTATTTCTAATTCTCTGATTACCTAATTATTCCCTGTTTTTGTTTCTCGATTGTTAATCTTCACTTGCAAAATAATTGAAATTTGGTAGTTGTAATCCAATTGTGAATTCAGGTCTCGTTTTCGGCACTGAAATTTTCGATTTCGTTTATTGAAACTTGTAATGGCCCTTCCCCATATTTTGTCTTTGACCTAATTTTCTTCTTTCGGATTACAACTACTTGTACTCATAAAACATCGTGGGTCATGAAACTTCATCTTGCTTTCAACATAAGGCAGGAATTGTCTGGTCGTGGGTGGCTAATATGCCCTAAAAATTAATTGAAATTATTTCACTGACTTATACCCTTACGGATGGTTGTTGCTTGGATGTTTTAACTCCTGACTCTGCACTGAAATGAATACTATTTTGTTTGTGTTTGTTTAAATTCCAACTCAACTTTACTGTTGTCCAATAATGTTTACCGAATTGTGGAAATTTTTAGCGATTGCTGTTCGGTTCCTTATACCTTAGTTTGCATAAATCTAACTGGATCCATGGCAGTTACTTTGTTTTCGTATTTGTTCCACTACTCAGTCCAGGTACAAGATGGTAAAAGTTTTAGGACTCCATGGCACTGTTGAATAATTGGTACACCATATAAAGTCTTGTTGGTTGTAAATCCATTTTATGTTAGAAACATTTTTATGGATTACTCTTATATAAGATGCTCCCTCTCTAGAAAAATAGCATTATAGAGTGTGAGGCAGCATTAATTTGCCTTGCAACCCGCGCTTTAGAAATTTTATCATGCAGGGTCTGTCAATCAATCTAATTCGTTGGTATTGTGTTCATGTTTCAGCTTTGTTTATTACTAATTCAACAACAACAATGACTAATGACAATATTAACACAAATCAAGTGGGTTATCCTTATCATTTTGCAATTTTTGTTTTTATTGGAAGCAGCATAGAGAAATATAAGTCCAAATGTTGGGTTTATATACACTCTTTAGAAAAATGTTGTTGCTCATGAGCTTGAGACTTCTTGTAGCACGGCAGCAATATGATTTACACACTTACAAAAGTGTAGTTGCTCATAAGCTCAAGACTTCTTGTAGCAGGGCATCAATATTATTTACGATGGTTGGGCAGCAAAAGTTAGTGTATATTTATTTTGACTAAGAAGATGTAGGAAGGGGAGAGAGGTGGATGTTGTATGATTGGGTTCAGTAGAATAGTTATGCTTCTTCTCCATCTGGTTATGATACTTTTGTGACATACAGATCCAAGATAAGCTCTGCTGCTGTCGTCGGTTGTATGGTACCATTTATGTTGGGAGTATGCTTTCTTTTTCCTTCAATGAACTGCCTTTGGCATAAGTATCACTATTGCCCCAACTGCAAGGAAAAGGTATGGCTTTTTTCCCCCATCATTTTTCATTCTGTCAGTTGCCTCTTCTAATATGCATATTGGGAATTTGACACTTGCTCTAGTATAGATAATTGGAGTAATTAACTATTCTATCCATCTTTTGTTTAGGTTGGTGATTTTGAGAAATTGGATAGGTGTGCTGTGATGGATCCTCCACACTGGACACAGCCAAGCTTTGCGTTGCCTGCTTGATTTTGATGCATTGTCTGCAGTCAGTCAGTATTTGCTTTGCTTTCGTGCCATTTTTGAGATGTTCTTATTACACTAAGGGATAGGGAAAGATTGGATATCGGTGCATATGTATAATTGTGATAAATACATGCTTCTTATATCATACAGCTTGTACATACCTTGTTCTCACATTGGCATTACTATTTCTATACCATACTGCTAGCCTTTTTCGGTCAAATCATTTCACAGAAAAACAATATACCTTTGTCAAATTACTTTCCTGTGAGCTATCACTATCTGTATCTCCTATCACCATTTGTTTTTACTTCTCAATTTACGTTTTGACCGTGCACCTCACCGTTTGGACGAATCATCGTTGGTTTGCGGTTTGCCCATTTGGTCTCGAGGGGATTTGAATTGCAATCTTTGATGAGACCAGCCAATCACTACGTAAGTAAACAATGAAGAACCATGTGGGAAAACTGAAAAGATAATGTACCTGAGTTCATTTGGGTGTTGCTCAGGAGCAGGTGGAAGAACAAGAATGGAAGTCGATTGCGGAGGTTTGAATCTGGAAGGGAAGGTTCGGCATGAGAAACAAGAGCCGGTCTCGTTAGCCAAAGAGACTGCCTGCAAGTATGCGATGGCAGGGTCCTGGAGTGAAACTTGATGGGGGGTTTGCAGGCAAGTCATCCTTGGCTACAATACAAACATGACTCTCCATTCCCATGCCGGACCTTCCTTCCTTCCTTCCTCATAAATCAGGTAGAATTAAAGCTGCTCTGTTTGTTGAACGCCATGAAAGGGAGATTTTGGTTGTGTGTTGTGTGCATTGGAGTTTGGTTTATATGTTGAAATTAGGAGCTCCACAACAATATACCACTGCTACTCCACACTCATCGAGGTTTCTGTCTCCGAATATATTCTGTATGATTGGATTTGTAAAATGGCTCTTGGCTACTTCTATACATTATGGCCTTTGCCCCAACCCAACACTTATTTTCAGAGAATCTTTCTATGCATTCACCCTAGAGACCACAGTCCATTCCCTGTCCTCATTTTCAGCCTACAAATACAATACATGCACTCACACAAATTATATCCTTCTATCTCTTACCTTTCGTAGAATTTATGTATATGAAATACATGTTAATAGAATTGTATAGTTTTCACCTTTTGCAAATTTAAACTGCACAAATTACAATGCTATGGTTGGTAGCTAGGAAAAGTTTAGCTGCAACCGCAACCGACCGACATGTGAAAATAAAAAAAAGGTTATTTTGTTTTCACCGAAATCATGCATTTAATATTATTTTATCTGCCCCAAATTCAACAAAGGAGATCGAGTCAAGAAATATTAAATAGATAGATAGAACAATGTTCGAGATATGTCTAGCTTAACTAAATTAAATTTCATTCTTAACAATCTCTTTTTTTTTTTTTTTTAACATTAACAAAACTTTTTAATCAATGAACATATTGCCCAAGTCGTAATCTTCTAGTTCCATTGAAGCAGTCAAATCAGTTTGGATTCGAGTTTTGAAGGCAACACGCCTAATTAAATTAATAGAGAGTTGATTGTTCTCTTCCACGGTATATATATTTTCTGTTAATTGCCATTTGACGATTACTAAATAATTTGAATATTAGAATGACAAAAAAGTTGACTGCTTGAATCCCCTCAGCAGTTGGTGTATACAAAAACCAATTCGGTCATGCAACAGCTGATTCTGAACAACATTTTAAAAAAAATGTGTTTGTAAATTAAGGTTAATACTTTTATTTTTTAAATGAAGAACAAATTACATTATTTGATAAAATAATCTACCCCTATTAAGAAAAAACAAATAAAATTGAGGTTGAAAATGTAAACATAGCCCTAACTCCTCCTACATTCGCTATTTTCACTAGGAGATGAAGCTTTTTAGGTCCTCCAAGGTAGACAATATAAATGACAAGAAACATTTGAGAAAGTGAAGGCACGAAATCAGTACCACTCCTCCATTCGTTATTTTCACTAGTAGGAAAAGAAAATTTTTAGGTAAATTTTGAAATTTAAATTATACAAACTTAGATTCAATGTAGACAGTACCAATGACAAGAAACATTTGATAAAATTAATAGATTTTGTAAGTCAACATCTTAGAAATATTCATTAAACTATAAACAGCTGTTTCTTCCTTGTACACATTTGAATTGTCCAAAGCTTAGACCATTTCATGCCACAAACTTTCAGCTTACTATCTCATCATCTATTGTCCAATCAGCAGCAAAATCATATAAAAAGAGACCAAAGAAGCAGCAAAAAAGAAGCCACAAAACTGAGACTTGGGTCCCAAAATTATCAAGCTTCTCCAATTCCAAACATGGCCACTTTCAGAAATTTAGTTTTCTTCCTATCATTTGCTTCTGCCATTGCTGCAGTCCTCTGCAACTCAGAAGGTAAAATAAAAGCATACAAGAGAAACAACAACTTTAGAAGAAAAAAACTTCAAAATATTCTTTCTTTTTGTATACATTTTCGAATTTCGGACGAATTAAACGGCGCAATTGCCTCTTTCCTTCCTTCTTTTCTCCGCTCCTGAGAAGCGAGACGAAATTTTGAGTTGCTAGGTTGATGGTTTGATGATTTTTTAGAAAGCTTGTGGTTGGAATTACAGGGGATGTTCTTTCTGCTTGGAAATCCCAACTGGTAGATCCAAACAATGTCCTCCAAAGCTGGGACCCCACTCTTGTGAATCCATGCACTTGGTTCCATATCACATGCAACCTCAATAACAGTGTCATCAGAGTGTAACATTCCTCTTAATCGTTTCTTATCACTCAAAAGTTTAGGCAGATAGATTATGATGTGTATTTAATCTTTTATACATATGATCGACTTTTTAACACAATTCTATATTTGCTCTTTAAAGGGATCTTGGCAATGCTAATCTCTCCGGACCTCTCATTCCTCAACTTGCAAACTTGCCAAATCTTCAATTTTTGTAAGATATATTCACTTCTGATCCATCTCGACATTCTTTTTTTAATCTTCGTATTGGTATAATATCATGTGTTTTAAAAATTATTTAAAGTCAACATTGTCTAATATCTTTATTGTTTTATATAGATCTATCCCAATACGAAAATTTGGTCCAACTATTAAAAATCTCTCTCAAACAAAAAGATCACTAATTCTTTCCAAGAGTAGCTTGTTGGGATGCAAATGTAATTCTTGATCTTTACTTAATATATAAGTAAAAGAAACATTTTGATTGGCTATTAATACGAGACATGTTAGAAGAAAACTAAAAACAAAGTCATACACATGCACAAATCTAGAGTGAAAAATATCGTACTATTATATAATCAGAAGATACTCGTTATCTTAATAGTTTGGCATCCAAAAATTTTTTATTTTGATGTAACATATGGAAATTTGCAGGATCGTAAATGACAACAATTTGAGTGGGGCAATTCCAAGGGAGATAGGGATATTGACAAATCTGAGAAGTTTGAGTCTGTTCAAGAACAAGTTCAATGGGCAAATACCATCTTCTTTGGGAAATTTGAGCTCTTTGCGCTTCTTGTAAGTACCTCAAAATCAATGGTCATTTTCTGAGGTTTAAAATCTCTAGTTTTTCAAATAATCTATGATGATATGGTTATATGGTTTTAAAAAAGCCTTTTCTTTCATGTAGGGAAGCGTATGACAATCATTTTAGTGGATTCATTCCTGTATCTTTTGGGGCCTTGACATCTTTAAATACCTTGTAAGCCTTTCTGTTTCCCAATTTAAGTGATGAGTACCCATTTTTAAGCTCTCTAATCTCTCTATTAATGGTGATCTAAGCAACTGGTTTTTACAGGAGATTGGACAACAACAATCTTACTGGATCCATCCCTTTGACAGTTCTTCAACTTGTTCATTTGGGCAATCTTCAGCTTCTGTGAGTTTTTGCTTCCCATCAAAATTTCCCTGTTTTTCAAATTTGTTAGCTGAAAAAAGAAACCAAAAAGTGCAAACGGAAAAAAGAAAGGCCAAGTTAAAAGTTCTGTTTTTTTTCTTTTAACTCAAATACTATTATTAAGTCGAGCTTCGGTCTCATCGCAATACTACCTTCAATAAATTCTTTTGAAATATTATGTATAACGACATTGTATTATAATTTTACCAATAAAAATTAAAACAATCATCTTTTAACGGGATAGGAATCAATCGGATATTTTGAAATTACAAGAATTAAAATAGAGGAAGATTAGAAAAGTTACAGAAAACTAGAATCAAATCTTAAATAAAAGTATTATTATCTCTCTGCTTTGTTTTTTCTCAGGAACGTTTCGAGAAATGCCTTGGCTGGAAGTGTTAGTCCAACAAATTCATCAGGTAAATGAACAAAATGACATGGTAACTAAATATGAACAGAAAGACTAAATGTTAAAAATGAATTACAAATTAAACTGTGAGAGTTATTCTGCTACTGATCTGATATCATTAACTTTCCAAATCCTGTTTCTGATGAACTGCAGAGTTTGTAGTAACTACAATAATACAAGACCCACAAGCTCAAAAGTAAAGTTGAGAAAGGAAGATGAAGAGACATGGCAGAACCTTGAGATTAGAAAATAAAAACTGTGGGATTTCTGTCTGAATCCCACAACTCTTCATAGATTGTGTAATAAATAATAATAATAATACTGTCTATAGAAACAGATGTACCTGTTGTCATTTCATTTCAGGTTTTGATATCAATAAATCTTTTCTTTTCTTTTTTTACAGCAGCTTTGATGGGTAAAGTAAAATGAACTTTCTTTGCAGGTTGTGATTCCTGGTGATGATTGATTTTGTAAGTGGGAAACAGGGTCAAAATCAGATCTGTTTAGAATTAGAATTAGAAATGAAGTCCACACTTCTAGAAGATGCTTTTGAAATACAATTTCAAGAAAAAAGAAAATGGATAGATAAGAAGCAAAATCAAAGGGAATTTAGCTGTTTCGCTTTTTTATCATCAACATGAACCAGCTGGAGCTGCTCCAATTCATCATTGTTTTTACTTTTTAACCAAATGGTATATATATAAATATATATATTCTTATGCTTTGGCCCATGTGTGCAAATTTTTTCTCTTACATATTTTTTCAAATAAGATACTATGCTTTATGTCTAAAGTTCACCTTTTTTAATACTAACAAAAATCAAATAATAAAAGTTCACATGATTAGTAAGGATAATGTGTACTTTGGAAGGTAATTTCGTATTTCTAACGATCTTCCCTCGAACAAAATATCACATACTTCTCCTAAATAGTCGACTATGTATCAACTCTTAGTTTGGTCGAGATTTACTCTTTATTGCTACTAACTCCTCTCTCTTTTGGAACACATCATGTATGATATCTAGGTCATCAACTTCTTTGTGCCCATCTGATATTCAAGTCATCTCTTCCTATATAGGACCTTGTATATCCTTAACTATGGAGCATAATGTTGTGGATCACATTGTGGAATATGCACAATGTTCACCACTCCTTGCACCCTTTTTAACTATCCTCCTAATCTCAGACAAAGATCATCAATTAGATAGTCAACATTGTCTAACTGAGCTCTACTACTCGCCATTTTTGTCTGACATCTAGAGCTCATCCACAATTTCATATGGCTATGTCTCCAAGACTCATAGCATTTCTTTGTTTAGTACTTGAGGATTCTACCCTACACGACTAAGTTTGGGTCAGATTCTAACAAGGCAATCTGCGCTTTTTGTAATGTCTACAATGATATTGTCCACTTTGGATATAAGTCTTAATAGATTTTTTTTTTCACCTAAAAGGTTTCATACAAATTGAGATGTTGTCACTCACTTGTATATCACATATTTGGGTTTTGTGGAGCCCAAATCATAAGAAGACTCATTGGAATGTTGTTTTCAAAATATAAAGGAAAATTGAGAAAGAGAGTAAAGAAGAGCTACATCACATGAGCAGCCAAGAAGCCATGAAAACAGTGCTTAAGGTGAGGTGCTATCCACGGTGCCATGCTCCATCCTAGAGTGTTGACACTACAACTTGAAGCATCTTCGTCTAATGTTGGAGCGCCATGATACCCACTTATAAGACCATGATGTTAGTTCGCTAACCAACAAAGTCTAGACGTTTCCTATTTAAATGAAGCTTTTTCTCTCTCTCTAGATGTTAGTCGTTAGTGGCTGCCAAGGATAAGTGAGAGAGAGAGAAGGGAACGACAATAGTTCTTCTTTGGAGAGTGAGAGGACTTGCCCTTAGAGAGTCAGGTAGGTATTTTTAGGGTATCTAGAAAAAGCTTATTGTGACATAGTCCAGAGCTTGAGACGAACCAAGATAAATCTAGTTTGTTAGTTTTTCTTTCCTTACTTTGGTTTAATTCCTTCTATTAAGGTTTAACTGTTTATATGCTTCTAACTATGGAAGAGAAATTGGTTAGGTCTGCTCTAACTTGAAAAGGAATAGTTTCCAACGCCACGAGCCTTTCGTTTATGTAGCCAATATGAGACTTTGGTTATACTCCCAACAATTCAAATATAGGATTTTTACACTCTTAAAAGGTTCCCTCCATAGATTAGAATCTCGATGAAAGAATTTTTCAACAAATAACTTACCATCGTTGCAAGACTATTGAAAGAAAATTTTAAATTACAACTTATAATGATAACATAGTGTCTCAAAGAAAATGTCATATCGAGATAAAGTTTGAATAGGTCAACGGTGAAACGTGTGGATTATAGTTTCGAAGAGTCAAGGGGGGAGAAATTGGTTTTTTGTGTGATTAAACACCGAATGGGGTGTGATGGACAAAACCTTGTCCTTGAGATGTCTAACCAAAGACTAGAACAAAACTTTTTCCCTTCATTATTTGTTTGTTACACCTTTTCATAAAGAATTGAAAAGCAATGGGAGGGAAAACAAAAGATATTATTAAAGTAGTTTTTTTTTTGGGTAGTCAAAGTCACTTCTTTTAAGGACACATGTTTATCATCATTAATATCCTACCCATCTAATCTAACATCATATTCAAATGGTTGGATTTCATTTCAATGATTACTACCCACCATTTCTTTTTCTTTTTTTTTTTTTTATTTCTTTTGGTTTATTTGTAATACCTTACCATAAAAACAATAAACAGTTAAAATGTTGAAAATGTGATACAACTCATTTATTCATCTAAATGTCATAACTATATAAAAAAAAACATATTATATCTTTACCATACATACTAAATATAAAATTTTCATGTGGAGTTTAAAAGATTAAGAATGATATTGGTTTATTTGATAATGAGTTAGTATTTTCTATTTAAGCATGCTGACTAACTTTATTTTAGTTCACGGCTAAGTAAAAAAAAAAAATCGAAGAAAAGAGGTGTATTTTCATGTGAGTATAAAATATTTTATTGACAATTTATGAGATATTATATTTAACCAAACTATACGAATCAAATTGAAAAATTTTATAACCCTATGAATTTTTTTTTTTTTAGTACAACATGTCGGGTTGGGGGATAGAACTCACAACCTCTTGGTTGGAGGTACATGTCAATTACTACTGAGCTATGTTCGCTTTGACAAAAATTAAATTCTAACTTAGTCTGAACCACAATGATATTTTATGTAAGCTCAAACCATAAGAACCAAATTGATAATTTTAAGTAAGCTCAAACCATAACAGCCAAATTGAGATTTTAACTAATTCTGAAATGTTAGATCAAAATAGAAAATGAACAAAGGTTTAAGGATCAAAATCAAACTTTTAAAGTTCAACTCATAAAAACACCTCTATGTGTTTTAGCTTCATAAATAGTTTAGGGTTTCTAATGTTTATATAATTTTTTTCTTTTTCTTTTTATTATTATTATTTTAAAATTCTATCAGTAGTATATTGAATTTTTTCAATCATGACTTACCTTACTGCATGATAAGATTCACTGAGAGGATGATAATGTGACATTAATATTTATTTTTTTACATAGTAACTTGATCAAAGTACGTACCTTTTCTTAATCTTTGATAGGAAAATTGAATGAGATATTACCCTAAATAAATATGGAAATCCTTATGTCGTGAACATAGGACTCTATGATAATATCTATAGGGAGATTTAATTTTGTGTCGTTAATGTTTCTTTCAAAGCAAAAGCAAAAGCAAAAACAAAAACAAAAACAAAATTTTGAATTTAGTTTTGGTTTGTTTGATGAAAATGGAAAGTCAAAACTAAAAGATGTGGAGGGACCTATTTTTATGAAGCATTAGGCATCAAAAGAAGAGTCCTCAATCCTCACAGTCACATGCAATCTGCAATCACACTTCCTTTTCTTCACACCTCTAAGTGGTCCTTTTCCCATTCTAATCCTTCCAACAAATTACATTTTCCTTTTCCCTCCTTTTTAAATTTCAAAAACATCATTAAATCTACTTTAAATTTTATATCTATTTATACTGCGAACCGGAATATAACTTAGTGAATCAAAGCTTTGATCTCCAACTCTTACATTTGTTCAACTAAAAAAATAATATTTTAAAAGAATGCACTATGATTTAACAATATTTTATTACAACATGTTGGGGAGAGGTATATGTCAATTACCGCTGAGCTATGTTCGCTTTAACTATAATTAACTATGATTAAAAATGAATCATTTGAGAGTTGAAAGAATATCTTTTTTAGTTCTATATAGAAATTTCAAAACATGGTTAATGTTGTTGATGAAATATGTGATAAAAATATTATCGGAACAGCCATTTTTACCATATTCATGAAAAGAAATTTTGAAATTTTGTCAATATAAGTTAGCTATATATGTGTGAAAATATAACCCTCTTTTGTAGTCGAAGAACAATAAAGGAAGATGCTTTGCCTTTAAAAGAATTAATGTGAAAGTAAAGTATTCCATTAGTTACTTTCAGTTCAAAATCATTCAAATGTCAAACAAAATTAAGGAGGCCCTTAGTTTAAATGCCACAAAAAAAAAAAAAGAAAGAAGCCTTTGAGAAAGATACTTCAAAATTTAAAAATTTAGACACAAAATTTTTAATAATTAATGACTTTATTCTTTTGCTTTTTTACGCATAAGAGTAAAGGTAAGCGAATAATTATGTACTAATTAGTAAATAGTTTAACTGTATGAGGTTATTGACAATTTAATAAGATATGAGAGTAGAAAAGATGAGTGTATACAATGACATTTTTTTCTTCCAATTTACGTTGATTGATAGTCATTCGGTAGGAATAAAAGTTTAAAGACTTTATTTTGGTCCATGTTAAAAGTAACCACTTATTTTCATTTTTATCTCACGTCTTCCAATCATAATTTTTGCATGATATTTTAGGAGATGTAGTCATAAATTCGGAGACTAAAATACACGAAAGTTGAAAATATAAAAACCACAATAAATGTTTTGAATCGTCCTAGCAGTAAATATCTCGTCATTCCTTCACGAACTTGGGAGATAAAATTATAAAAATAATCATAATGGGATTCCTTCCGACCACCACGAATCTCAAAAGAGAGACATTATTCGGAAATTCCATCGGTCCTATAAAACTATGCTACGCCCACCAATACCAAAAAGATAACACAATACCATATTCTTTTATGGGTCAAACTTTCTTTTTTCTAAAGTTTTATCTTTTTCATTAAAAAAAAAAAGTCATTTTTAATAATTAAGGAGGGAAAAACCCCCACCATGAAGCAAGAAGAACCCTATTTTTAGCAAGCGTGGGATTCTTCGTACCACTCACCCATTTTCTTCTCTGCTCCTTATTTTTAAAATGTATTTATGAATGGTATTTCAAACAAAATATATATATATATATTGTTCTTTGACTTTTTGTTTATATAATTATTGGAAAAATATATATTAAAATTTACCTCACATTGTAGTCTATAATAATGGTTTAACGCAATAATAAAATATAAAGGGTTGAACTCACTATCTACTATTTGAATCCACTCGTGAATAATGGTTTCATTATTTTGACTTCACTTGTGGGTGTGGTAAATAATTTTGTCATATTTACAAAGAATAAGCTATAGAAATATGATAATTTTGTTGGGTGAGTGTAGAATTCGGATATGTATTAGAAAATGTAGGTTGATGATATTTATTTAAAAAAAGTTGTTCTGAATTGTGCTCTTAAAATAATTTTTAATTTCGAGGAGTGCTTCTTTAACAATGACAAGTGATTAGCGATTAAGAATAAGTTCAAAGTCTTTCTTCATGAATAGTGTAAATTAAAAAGAAAAAACACAAACACCATCTTATTGCTCTTCTTACCATATTCCTATTTGTTCAAATTTTGTTAGTTTTTAAAAACAAAGGAATAAAAGGAGAAGACATTGGGTGGGTATGAAGGTGGTGTCACATTCCATCAACAGGAGAGGACCACATTTGACAAATTTGTCCCTCTACCAAATTTTTTCTTCCCACCACATCCCCTTTCTATCAAATTTATTACCCAATTGCAAACACACTTCCTCATATAATTATTTCTTCTACTACTTCAATTTGGAATTTTTCCCTCTTTTTTTTATACTCTTCCCATTATATTGATCTAGTGTTCACTAAACCAAGAAATTAAATAGTAAATTAACAAATTCAACCCCATAAATCTATTAGAATCGTTACCTTAATATTAGACACTAAATAGGATTTTAATTAGAAACTTATTAGAACCCGCCAACATAAATAATTTAGTGATAATTAACATATATTTCTTTCTTTATCGTCGTACCTCGATCCTGAAATAAAGAGGGAGAGAGAGAGTTTTATTTGGAAGGTAAAAAAAAAGAAGTTTTTACAGTTTTTTGTGTGGTACCAAATGGAAAATTGGGAGAATTTAGAGGGGAAAGTATGCAACAAAAACAAGACGTCAAGAGTGGTACACAACACTAAGCCATTGGGCAGCCCCTTTTATGGGCTCTATAAAATTCTCCTTGTATAAATATATATATCCCTTACTTCTCTGTGTGTGTGTTTGTGAAATTAAAAAGCTTCAGTGGTTGAAAATGGCGAGGCTTCTTCTTCTTCTTCTTCTTCTTCTTCTTGTGCTCTCAAACTTGTTGGTCCCCATAACACCCAACTCTGAAGGTGATGCTTTGTACGCGCTGAGAAGAGCAGTCAAGGATCCAAACAATGTCTTACAGAGCTGGGATCCCACTCTTGTGGATCCTTGCACCTGGTTCCATGTCACCTGCGACTCCGATAACCACGTCACCCGCCTGTACGTCCCTCGTCTTCTGTTCAAACTCTTGCAAATTAGATGCATGTTTTCGTAAATCACTTTTAGATTCGAGATGTGTGTGCAATCTTTTGGTGCAGTGATCTCGGAAATGCAAAGCTGTCTGGCAACTTAGTTCCTGAGCTAGGGAACCTCGGACACCTTCAGTATCTGTAAGTCTCGACTTAAGCTTTTAAATTCAATATTAGTTTGATATGTCTTAGAACAAGAAGAAGTTGTTTCAACAATATCGTTTTATCACAGTTTAATGAAGAACTGTCTAATAGGTCTATAAATTTTCAGTCACGTATTAGTAGACAGCATGATAATTCAAAGACGAAGGACGTGTGGTGGTGGTGTCGGAGGTGACTATGAAAATTGAATGACTAAAATTGTAATTTAATGGAAAATTTAATATGGGGTGGGGGAAATAGAAAGTTGAATTAGGGATGGTGGTGATAATGAAATTGAATGTGAAGTTTGGATTTGGGAAACTCATTGATTGCAAACTTTAATGCGTTTGGGTGTGGTTGTTCTTCTTCACTTGCAGGGAATTGTACATGAATGAATTAGTGGGTCCCATACCCAATCAGATCGGACGGCTGAACAGCCTCATCAGCTTAGATCTCTACCACAACAATCTCACTGGGCCCATTCCTCCTTCCCTCTCCAACCTCTCCAATCTCAACTTTCTGTGAGTCTCCTCTCGTTGTCATTCGTCTATTACACATCTTTAAAAGTTGAGTTATCAAACTTATAATTTAACCAATCAAATTCCAAAATGGAACTACAGGAGATTGAATGGGAATAGGCTCACCGGAAGAATACCAAGGCAACTCACCAAACTTGGCAACCTCAAAATCATGTTAGTATAACCTTCTTGTCATTCATTCGTCCGTCCATCGATGTTGTCACCTTAGATGACATGTTATAATCTAGCTGTTCCATCTTCACAGCGATGTGTCGGATAACGATTTGTGCGGGACGATCCCGACATCGGGCTCCTTCTCCAAGTTTTCAGAGGAAAGGTGATTATTGATCGATTTGATTAGTTTTTACAACCCCATTCTCCTAATAAATGTTTCTTTGACCGAGTTGCTGTGTTTCAATGTAGCTTCAAGAACAACCCGAGATTGGAAGGGCCAGAACTGATGGGGTTTGTGAGGTACGAAAATGGAGGAAGCTGCTGATGTTTAACTTAACGTGGTCGCTCTCGGTTGAAAGGGAAAAGAGGTTTCTGTATTTAAGTAAAACAAGTATGACTTATAGTACTCCATATCAAAAGATTGCAATGCAAGCATTTGGGAGGTCGATCAGTTTCTAATACATCGAGGCAGATGTTTGAGGATTGAACAATGTTGTAAAAGAAAAGCCTGCACATTATAAGCTGTAGGGAAGAAAATGCAAAGAAATTACTAATCCAAATCTTGCGTTAACACAAGATCAGTAACCCGTAACTTGAGATTAAAAAGAATCTCAAAAAGAATCTCACATATAAATGTAAACTTAGGGTCACGGTTCGAACCTACCTCGTTACCCAAAAACGCCTAAATTCATATACAAATAAATAAATAGTAATACAAGCAAATCGATAACAAGTGTCATCTGAAGTTGAATTTGTATACACAATCTTCTCATATCAATTGAAGAAATGCCACTTGATCCATGAATGAAAGAAGAAAGTCACAATACATTCAACATTTTGTAGAAGCATTAATTTCTCAACCTAGAAAGTGTAAACTAAAGGGTACAAAATTGGAAGGGAAAATAATTTGTTATTGTGGGTTCTTTTTGGGGGGTGGTAGGGGGGATTTTTCTCTCTTTTTCACCATAAATTGCTTGGGGAGATACAAAACTCGTTGGGTGATGAACGAAATGGCAATTATTTAAATAATTACGAGCCAAGTGGTCATCAATCATCATGAGATGAGAACAGAATAGATGAGGAATTATTTACAACATAGGAAAGACCTGTACTGGATGATGGTTGGAAACAACTAACTTTTGGCCCCGACCATTTCTGACTGCCATCAACAGACAATGATCTCCACATAAGGTTTCATCAATCTGCACCTGTTTCAAATAAATGCATCAATGTTGGAAAAAACAAGACACACATTCTCAGAAACAGAAGACAAAGCTAATGATGTCAAAACAAGCCACAGATCTTTCTTTTTTCTCTATGTTTCCAGTCTTTACCATAAAAGAAGGCAATCTCTTGCTGATTTGTTTCAGTTTTATCCTACTCAACCTAATTCCAAGCAATTACTCGACTCAGCACAGTTCAACAGTTATGAGTTCCTTATGAACCCATTTCCCAGTTACCCAGAATACTATCGATCTCCTTCTATTCACGTCAAACTACCCCGCATCGCTTCCTAACATGCTTCCACTGGGTCTCATTCCTCGTCCTCAGTACGTCTATGATGTCCATCTCAATTGACCTCATCTAATAGTTAGTACAAAGGGGAGAAAGAATATCCAAATCTAAATCTCTGTGTAGGCCAAGGTTGGACAATGACAAAAATCAAAGAAAGATATATTGCATTTGACTGTCGCTGTTGTTGCATGTAATATTTCGATGCTTGGCACAAATTAATAAGTTTTCAGTAACTCGTGTACCTTATCATTGCTAGACATCCATATAGATTCAAAAGCTATGAGTTTTCGATATGAATACTAATAGCAAAGCAACATGGTTACTAATTATCTACTTGCAAACAAAATATGCTAAGATCATTATCAATTTATTAATGTCCAATCAAGCATTAAAAATAATAAAATTTGTGGAATCTAGAAACAGAATAAGTAAAATATCTTTTGAGAATCAAATATCCAGGTGCCTAGTCCATGCATTTTCGGCAGTTAACTGAGATGGTCCATAAACTACTCCAAACTGAAATTAATGCCACTTCTCATATTAATCCAAGAAACTACACATTCAACCACCACGTGCTTCAATTTAAAACCACAAATATTGAGGTTTACCTGAATAATCACAATTCATATAAAACCTAATTCACGAGATATCTTAAGAGAATTAGGATAACTAACTTCCAGACATGGAGATAATCAATGGCGAAGGGTTTTCTTACCTTTAACTTGCAGGACTTGGACCACATTCTCCGAACCTGTTGATGGATGACTCTGGTTGTTAGATAAGGTAAGTGGTGTCAAGGGAGGTGACGTCGTGTCTAAGGCCATTGCAGAAGATTCAGAAGTTTCCAGAGGCTTTGACTCATGAAATAAGGTATCTGTCTCCCTAGGGCTCCTTGAAGGAATGGAGAAACTGCGTGTGATGGTTTGGAGGGGAGGCATTGGCAATGGAGACGCTGTACTCCTTACTACAGTTTTAGTGGCAGTAGAGAGTCCTTGACTTTTGGATACCAATGGAGCCGAGTGACCAACTAAACCTGAAGGTCTTGACGACTTATATGTTGAACTAATGGGAGGCCTAGGAAGCTCATGAAGCTCATTTATTTTAGGTGAGGAAATAAAAGTAGGGGAAGCAACTGGGGACACTTTTGGTGATGATGATAAAGGTTGGGGCATTGGATTTCGTAAGAGAGGTCCTGAAAACAATTGGGGGTTTTCGACTGGAACAGATTTGTTAGCTGATGGCTTACCTATTAGAGGACCCGAAAAGGCTAGTCTCTTAATTTTTTTAGCATAAGAAGCTGCAGCTGGACTGTGCCGTGGCAACCCATCAGACAAAGGAGGAGGTAACTGAGTGGATGCTGTGTTAGTGTTACTCTCCTTGAGTACAGACTGCGTCTTTGCAGCACCATGTCCTGACATATTTTCATCTCCGACTAACTTGTCGTACTTCCTAGGTTCCAGTGGTGACGAATGCCGCCACAAATTTTGCTGATGTATCGTCTGTATGGCGTTAGGCACCGGGTTTCCGGGGCCCCCAGAAACTGAACCCTTTGTATCAGCTGGGGTGGGTAGAACATAAGTGTGGAACTTCCGGGTTGATGAAAGCCGCATCTGTCTTATTCTTTCAGCAGCATCAAATCTTTTTTCAGGAAAAAGTGGGGCAGATTGGCTTGTTGTTCTAGCACCAAAAGAAAAGGAATTCCTACGATTTCTGTCAAGATTTTCCTGCAGGAAGCCACATTGAAAAGAAATCACTGACGATGGCAGACTTCATGTTCTTTGTACTTTCATGTATCAATGATATTAAATGTGAAATAGGAACAGAAACTAAGCTATTTACAAAGGCCAACGCTTCATCAAGAAGAAAATGCTAAACCAACATTAAAAATAAGTAAAGTGATATTTAGAAGTCTGCACGATCAATGCAATAAATGATAACTCTCCGTGATGACAAAATATCTAAAGATAATTTTAAAAAAATAAAATAATCAATAGCCACACCACATTTCAGCACATCCTAAAGAAGGGAATAAATTTTAAATGGAGTCATAATTAATACAAAAAGTACAAGAAGAATACTATGTTTACCTTCACAGCTTCCACGTGGTGAAATGCAAGATCTGGCTGATCCAACTGCATCAATGACACATTACTCAATTAGCAAATACTTGAGAGCTTAAATCAACAACTAAACCATGTAAGATGTTTTTCCCCTACACATATATTCTGCTTTTCCCACACACTACATAAACATGATGCAAAGCATATCATCATCCCAAATGCAAAATTGGTAAAGATAGACTTGGGTGCTTTTTTCCTAAAGATTGTGAGTATTCGAGTTATATATACACCACAACTAATCTTATGGGACAACTATGACCTTACAATATTTGCATCAAGAAATCCAGAGAAAGTACTTTAATATCTCGGATAGGTGACCATCATGGGTTTATAGACACATGACCTCAAAGATATCTACGATTATAGCTTATCCCTTTCATCAGTTGGCCAACTAAGTGGTTACAAAAGAATTTAGTTCTTTAGATAAATCAACAAAGACCATATACAATAAGTTGTTTTCCTAAACCCTATTTCAGATGTCTCCACAAAATGCACAGATGAAAGGAAAGACCTTCTCAAATTATTGGGTCAGTGTTATAAATTAAACAATCACCTCAGGACTTCGAAATGTTGAAATATCAGGATCATGATCATTTTGCCCATAATCAAAGCTTAATTCCCCATCATCACCATCATCATAACCATCATCATCATCAACACCATCATTATTCCCATAATCGACATTGTCGTCTTCTAGTCCACTGAATCGGTAATCAATGTGCTGCTGTTCTGTCAGCAATTTGACATGTGGTTCCACAGATTCAAGAGATTTAAGTGCCTTCTTGAAGAAAGATAGCTGTTTTCAAAAAGATGGTGTGAATCATCAAATAGAGAATGCATAGGACGGTCCTAAAGAGGAAAAAGGAGAAGACCCATGAAATAGACAACTGAACCTGAGCAGCATGGTGACGAGCAGCCTGCGTGAGAAGACTATGAGACTGTCCTTGCTTCAACGATTTCAACCGGAAAACAAATAAGGTTGCCTCATCATCATATTCCTCTCGAGCTGTTTGCAACTGTTGCGATGTAAAGCTCTCTCCTTTAACAGTCTTTGACCTCCCCTTCTCCTTGTGCCTCAGTCTCATGTACTCGTATACTTCTCTGTGAATTATACAATGAAATGGGAGAACATCATCGACAGAACATTAATCACCAACCTGGCTCTCATATGCACAGGGGTTAAAGTACACATGGGCTTAAGTAACAACAGTTATTTGCAACAAACCTTTTCTCGTCACATTGTCTCTTCATCTCCTGCATCCAAGGAAAGGCCAGTATGGCATCAATATTCACAAGATTGTCAAAATTGAAACAATTATACAATTTGATAAAACAGTATTGTTAATTCACAGCGTGCCAAAGGGGTGCAAGCTATTCATAAACAAAATAAAATATAAATGGCGTACAGGAAAAGGTACAAAACCCAGAGAGAAATCTAGATCATAGTCATAATATGTTATACATAGATAATTCAGTAATCATGTTGAGGTTTAAATACAATTCAATAACCATGTGAAGATTTACACACATCCCCACAGAAAAGTTGCAAATGCATACAACATAGGAAATTAACCAACGACCAAGAAAATGGCAAAAGGATAACAACTGAAAACAAGAAAATAATCTGTCGTGAAACTGATAGGCCTCAGGTCACAAAGTTTTACACTCATAAGAGAGGAAAGAGAAAGGGGGACCATGCAGTGAGTGAGGGTATATGATTTGTGGACCCCAAAGAATATTGTTATTTAGGGAGGGAGAGTCATGAGGTATGTTTTTGCGAGTGCTTTATAGAGTCGGAGGTTGGATAGGAGGGGTATGTTTTTTATATCTTTTGTGAGGCTCATATTTTGAGAGTTCTTGGGAGAGTTGAGGAGCTCTCGAATCTCCCATGGTTTACTCTATTATCATAAATAAGATCGAGTTTTTTCAGAAACTTGCATGCATCGAACGCTTGAACATGTGACAATTTGAGATAATTAGCTACAGTGAACAAGGCCTTCATAATTTCTTTGAAAAGTTCAGATTTATAATTTGGAAAAATTTTCAACCTTCAGTGAAGAATCCTCCATTTACTACCCAAAACAAGAAAAGAAAAAGGAAGAGAAAAAATTATCTCAGCCTTTTAAGACTCTTTTCCTGGGTATTCCACTATCCAGTAGGTGCCATCCCAGTAAAAATATCCCACAAACAACTAGAGGGTAGGGGATGGGAACAGCAGTCAACCACAAACATTCACCATTTAGAAGTAGTGGTAATGTGGCAGTGGCACTCGCTCAATCTTCAGCATAATATTCTTTTTTTAGATAAGAAACAACTTTGTATTGATCAACAGAAAGGTACAGCCTCAATCTTCAGCACAATATTCACTGAAGGATAAAAACAATATAATCATTGCCATAAATGGCAACTGGATAATATGTTGCTGAGAACTGGATGCCCATACATACGTGAATGCTCAAACAATATCAGGATTTACGATTGTGGATCATTAAATTTAACAACAGTAATAAATAACAAACCAATGTCCACAAACAAGGTAGTATGGCCAGTTGCAGAATTAATGCACTATACAAGATCTGAAAGAAACACTAGCCAAATACAATTAGATAAACAATCCATCTAGACATACCTCAACTGTTCGAAGTTGATTCAGAAGAGATTCAGATGGACGAGTTATTGTTTGTGAAATATGAGAACGCTGACAAATTGAAGCAGTATTCAATTTTAGCCCTCAAAACCAATAAATTTGGCATCAGATAGACAGACAGACAAATAGAGAGAGAGAAGCCAGCTCACATATCGATCAACAAGTTTCTGGAGCTCAAATTGCACCTTTCCCAACATTAGCAGAACCTTACCTGCATGGAGGTAAGAAGATACGTAACACATCATTCCCAAGCTTGAGATAGAAATAAATAAGCCAACCACACTAGGAAATTATCCAACGAACAATTAAGCTTCAAACAGGAAGTATCTTCATGCAATTAGCATAAATTATTCTAGAAAAATTATGAATTAGCAAACGGATAGCTATAAGTTAAAATAATGAGGCATCCACAAAATTAGAAGATGATAAAAATAAAAATAAGAGAGAGGGAGAGATAGGGAGAGAGAGAAGAGAATAGAAGTTAAACTAAAAATGTCTACCTAAAATAAAGACAAGCAGAACTGAAAAGGATGCACCAAAATCTCAGGACTTAACAGTTAGCACCAATTCAAAAACCAGGCAAAATGCTTGAGACCATAATGGTCGCAGCATAGATTGCAAGAAGAAATACGAGCAGGCATTTCCATTAACAACACCCTCAATGAGAGCCCCAAAATATTTTTCATTTAGTTTTTCATCTTCACAGTAGATTTATTTGGCTAAAAAGGCATATGAGTACATTTATTTTATGATGATTAATGTCAATTAGACCATTTAATGTACAACTAGCTTCACCATCATTAACACCACATGCCTATTATAATTAATGGCATTGAAAAAAAATTTACATTTAACGTACCACTATCTTCATCATCATTCAGTGCTGTTTTCTCAAGAAGACATGCACCCATTTCTTGTAATGAGACTGAGAATTCTGAAAATAAAGTACAACTGTTAGATAATGAAGTTACAGGACTAGTCATACCAACCTGGTTAGAGATCTTAAGATCTGACATACCCATAGGCCCAATATCAAAACTAAATACAATGGAAGTAAAAGAATCATGCTACATTGTGCATTCAAAGAAATCCCACAAATCACTTTGCTCCAGATTTGAAAATTACCCACCACGAATGATAATTAACAGTGCAACAACATTGGCTAAGAAGAGCCACAGAATTCACGTCATTGAGCATTGTGCATTATAGCATCCTATTTATGATTCAATAATATTGGTGGCAATCTCGATCATTCATTCCTTTGCATATATACTGAAATTAAGCTTATCACCAAATCTACAATAGAATAAGACCATTGCAGACGTAATGCATAATTAGTATCATATTGCATTTTGTTCACAGAGAAAATGTAAGTGAAATATGCACATCATTACATCAAAATGAAGTAAAACTGAATGGATAGGCGCTGTTGATTCAAACAGCTGGAAAGAGATATACAGGAAAGTTAACTGAAAGTCAATAAGTTGTAACAATTAGTTGATCTAAAAGTTACCGTAAGCACTATTTTCTGTAGCGGCAGCTGCAGAAAGTAAGCTGTCATAACAGTCTCTCATTTCTTCCATGTCCTGAAATCACAAGGCCAGACTAAGCAGTAAGAATTTGATTATATTAATCAACACCTAAAACAAGCCTTAAAAGCACTAAAGCTTTGAATAGCATTCCTACGATGATTTGCTAGGAGATTAACCCCACCCCGGGCGGAAAAATAAAAGGAAGAGAGAGAGGAGAGAAAAAGAGAATCCAATCTCTTCCCACCACAGCCAAAACCCTAAAATTCCCATTTCCATTCTTCCCCGCACATCTAATAATCTCAATTATTCGCCAGACACAAATTGAAGAAACACAATCCCGTTAGTAGGGATCAGTTCCACAGCTAGAAAGTTCACAAGAGTGAGAAGATAAGAAAAACCCAGGAAGAAATTGAAGAAATGTCGGAGAGCCCCCTCATAGATTTCGCTAATTCCCGCAATCCCCAGAAAGCCCAAAAGGGTAAAAGCAAAATACCCGAGAAGCCTGAGCAAGCTCATCCAATTGAGCCAAAGGACGAAGATCTATACGGTCCTTAGCTTCGTGCTTGTGCAGTCCTAAACCCCGCAACTTCCGCAAAGAAGTCTTCATAGCTGCTCCTTTCTGGTGCGTCCCTCCACGAAATCGGAGAAGGCGAAAAGAAATCGAAGAAATTCGAAGTCGAAAAGGGGAAAAAGATACGCAGAGAGTAGGAAAGTGGAAGATGAAGAAAAGCCATCAATGCCACTTTTTTCTTCGTTCAAACTCCTCCATTCTCAGCTTGCGTCAGCCAGAAATGGAAGACCCAAATATCAATAAATAAATTTTTATTATTTCCAATTTGATCGAAGGAAAAAAAAATCCCAAAGCTTCGTTCTTCTTCTCCCTCTTGACTTCTCTTTTCCATTTTATTAAAAAAAATGTATTCTTTCAGATTTAGTGTCTGAACGCCACGTAGTAGTGCGCAAAATTAGTGGAATTGATCATTTCCGTTTGACTGTGATTTAGAATTTTTTTTTTTTATTTATTCTGATTTAATTAAATATTATTGTTGTAATCTTCGAATCATATTTTAATTATTATAAAATTCCTTTTCTTTGCGTTCCACAATCAATGGTCAATTGCTGCTCTGTTCATTTTCCATTCCATCATTAGTTTTAATTATTCATAATATTCAATTCGTTTTGTTTGGTACTTATTTTCCTTTGCGACTATAATTTGTAAATATATTGTTTTTTTAATTATTTTTAAGATTTTAGCTAAATTATATTGAATTTAAAAATGTATGCAAGTACTTTATATACTGTTATGTTGACATTATTTGCTGGTCATGTCATATTAAAAATTTATAGATGTAATTGAATAAAATTATATATTTCGTTGATACACTTAGACTCTAAATAATTATTTATCATAACCTTTAATTGAAACGATTAAATAAATTGGAAATGAATGAGCAAATAATTTGTTCAAATTATATTTTAAATAATATTTTATAGGATAAATCAAAATTTTATTTCGTGGATTTTCATGTCATGTCTATGTGGTTCTTAAATATAAATCAGTCACTCGATGGAAGTTTTATTTTGTCAAACCGAACTAAAAATAAATTTAATTTTAAATATAGAGATGTTATTATAAAACATATAATCGAACTATATTAAAATAAAATATTTAATTTTGTTTTTCATTTTTTAATTTAATTAATTAAT